TAAATAGTGTGAGTAGTGTGTTCACACTGAAAATTCCAAAAAGAAAAAGTGCACTTTAGATACCCGGATGATGCACTTAAATAACCGAAAAAACGAAGTGTGGAATGTTGAACACTTCATGCACTCAACTGTCGCAGTTTTAATTACGTAGTGAAGGGGGAAGGGCTATCAGACTCCGTTTATGAATGACAGAATAACCTTATATAATTCATACACTACATGGTTGAGTACATAGTGCATAAGTGCATAGTGCGTCATTTGGGACGCAGCTATTAGGTTTTGTTTTCTGACAAATGTATCATAACTAAGTGAATTTATGCTGTCAGTGGGGTAAAAAAATTATCTTTTATTCCTATGACTTAAGTTTATTTTTCTTACTCAACTGACAAGATTTTTTTTAGCATAATCTCACCTGATTTTGATATACTTTTAAAGCCTTAACTTAAGTCATTTTGCTTATAAATTGTATGTATTTTGATTTAAGAATGTTTAGATAAACAGTTCAAACTGGAAAACAAGATAAATGCTGAGTAAGAACCCCATTTAACTATCCAGTGGAGGAAAATGTAACAGAGCAAAAAATGTTATACACTGCCAATATAACACATTAATTGGAATCGTTCAATGAGTGCGCTAGATGAAAAAGTGAATGAAGCCATTGTCAGCTTCATTAAATGAGAAAGAACAGCTCTGAGCTTGGAGGCTTTCCACAGACTTATCTCTTGAACAAAGCATGTAGTATTATAAAGTTCATTCAGTATGTAATTGCTTAAGTCACTGCTGACGTTTGTACAGGAAATGCTCTGTATATCCTTTCTTTTAGGTAACATCAATTAGACAGTCATAAGTAGGGGAACATATCATGACTGGAATATCGTAAATCATGCACTGTCACACAATTGCATGCATGACTAATCTAGGTCAAATACAGCAGCATTTCTTGTTGAACAAACAGCCAGCCAAACATCTTTTGAGATTTCATAACAACTAAATATCCAAATTATAGGCCTAACCTTAAAAAAATGATCTTACCCCAGTTTGACTGTAGTGGTCCAAGATGGAGGGGAGCAGGGGAAGTATTAATGTGAAACCCAGCAAGTCAAGCAGCAGTGCCAAGAAAACCACCCTGATGACTCTGGAGGAGCGCACATCCTCAGATGTAGTTTTGTCACCTGCCATTTCTCCACTCCAGTGACCCAAAGTTTTTCTTTACTGCTGAGGACTCTTAAAGGGTTAGTTCACCCAAAAATGAAAATTAGCCCATA